CCCCAAATTACCACTGCACTTTCCCATGTTTTACTGTTTGAAGTAAATTTCTTTTCTTAAGCACGCTACCACATTTTCTCCACACCAACTGACGTCCTTGGATTTTATAATTGCAAAATTTAGTTTTACCGAAAATCCAACTTTCTCCTAGGGTTATTAATATGCCTTTACACGAATTCTATACGTTTTAAACGATTTACTCTATATATTAATGGCTTTCTACGTACCACTCAGCCTTTATAAGTAGCCTTTTTGAGAGTGTTGCACACAGTATTAGCGTAAATGCTTTTTTTAAATTTAAATTTAATATTTTTTGCAATTTCAGAAGCCGCCAATTGTGGATTCACATTTACAATTTTGACTATATCGTATTTCCCCTTAGGAGTCAATTTTGATGGGCGACCAGAACGGGGCTTAAAGACTAGAGAACCTGTTTCTTTAAAATTATTTATTATACTTTTCATACAGAAGAGTGGCTTCTCTTTACGATTTTGCCTATTTCTGTAAAATTTTTGCCCTCTTTCCAGAAGCTTAATATCATTTCCCATTCTCTTACGGATATTTCTTTCACGATGTAGATGGATGACGATACACAATATCAGGTAGTGACATAGAAATAATGTAATTTATAAAGAAAGAAAAGGTGTTTGTATACTGATTATTACTTTATGAAATACATTTATTACCGATTCATAGGAAATATGTTTTAAATTTATTAAGATTGAAATAAAAATAAAAATTTAAAGATAATTTATTTATTTATTGATAATTATTAATTACAAGTGCTTAACACTAAATATTTAAAATATTTTCAAAAGTACATATTTACCTTTTGGCAACAAATGAAGTTTTCGTGTCGACACATCAAATAACGTTTACCCGTTATTATAAAAAAAATATTTTTTTTCACAACTATTTAAATTTTTATTTAATATACGTCTTTTTAAAATTAATTTTTATTATTTTTTCAAAATTATTTTATATAAATTATAATAATTTTTTTAAACACTTTTTTCCGCTTCGCCTTTATAATATGAATACACCTTTTTTGCCACCTTATACTGGAATAAGTTACAAAAAAAAACTCCCGCTTTTGAAAATCTTAATATTTTTTTCTATACTTTATATAGGGAAAAATAAATAACTCCCGCTTTTAAAAATACATTATAAAAAAGCAGGTAGACATCTATTGCGTACTCTTCTCCTTTCCCAAAAATTCTTATGTGTGTAAAAATGAGAATAAGAAGGTATACTGCTTAACTCTTCTAACTAAGGGAATTTTTTGTATACAAATATTGGTGAGTGATTGCATCAGTGTGATGTAAACGGAGATCGAACTGTTTTTTTATAATGTATTTTGAAAGGCGACATTTTATTATTTGCTCGTATATAAAGTATAGGGAAAAATATTAAGAATTTTAAAAGCGACCCAATAATTTCTGTAATTTATTCCAGTAAAAGGTGGCAAAAAAGGTGTATTCATATTATAAAATCCAAGCGGAAAAAAAGTGTTTAAAAAAATGATTATTTATTTATATAATATAATTTTGATAAAATTAAAATAATAATAATAAATTTTAAAAAGACGTATAATATTAAAAAAAATTTTAAATAGTTGTGAAAAAAAAATATTTTACAGATTTTTATAAACCATCCAAGAATTTCATGGATAATTTAAAGATTTTAGAAAATACTTTTATTAAACTTTTTAATGATATTTTTACAGAAAGAAATTTAGAATGTAAAATATATGAACACTTAAAAAATAATTTCAACTATGAATGTTGTGAGAAGTCCGACAAAACATATTTCATTAAACTATATATAAGAATTAGAATTTACCACATAATAAAAAGTTTTAATAAAACTATAAAACATTTAATTATATAAAACAAAAAATTTTTAGTGTTAAGCATTTGTAATTAATAATTATTAATAAATAAAATATATAAATTATCTTTAAATTTTTATTTTTATTTCAATCTTAATAAATTTAGAACATATTTCCCACGAATCGGTAATTATTATATTTCATAAAGTAATCAGTATGCATACACCTTTTTTTCTTTATAAATTACTTTATTTCTATGTCTTTACCTGATACTGATCAGACTGTGTATCTACTGTACCCAGGTACATGCATGTGTACATTCATACAAGAAATTTCAAGTTCTTTTACTTTCATACATTCGAATTTTTTGCCTAAATTTTATAAAATGAAAAATAAGTTTTGTTATTATCAAAATAAAAATAACAAAATTTTTACCTAAGTTAATTTAATTTTATTTTAGTTCAATGTTTTTGATACACTCGTTTGTTTACTCGTTTGCAAGATGCAAAGGAAAACTAACGAATGAAACGAGCCGAATTACTTATTAGTAGATATACTTTGATTTTAAAAGCGAGTTTCATTTCTCTAATTTATTCCACTAGAAGGTGGTAGAAATTGTGCATCCATATTATAAAAGCAAAGCGATTTAAAAACAAAATTTGACAATTAAAATAAAAAAAATTATAATTTATATATTATATGTACGAGTATATAATATGTATGAAGAATACAAATAATATTAAAAAAATTTAAAATTTGTAATTAGTAATTGTCATTACATTTATTGTAATATAAACTATGAATTTTTTATTTTTATTTCAATTACTATGTTAGCTTAAAAACGAAAACGACGTTTAGCTATTAAATTTCAAATCATTATTAGCATTTCAAGTCAAGTAAGCGACTTGAGTGAGGCCGGCTTCAGGTCAAGTAACGTTTATATAGACAATTATAAGCTTGAAGCAGCCATATAAACGGGTTACATACATATTACTACATCATATTGTGCATCTACCTTGAATCGGTATGTACTGTATAACAAAGCATGAATTTTGAATTTATAACTATTACTTTCATACATTCGAATGTTTTTACCTTACTTTTATGAAATGAAAAATAAAATATGAAAAAAAAAATTCGTTGTTATCAAAATAAAAATAACAAAATTTTACCGATTTAAATTAAGTAATTTTATTTCAGTTCGATGTTTTTGATACACTCGTTTGTTTACAATATTTTATTTCTTTCTTGCCTACACAACTCTTATTACCATTTATTTCTAAAGAAAAATAGCGGAATGGAACGAGTCAAACTACTTCTTGGTAGATGTACTTTGATTGAAACCTGGTACAGGTTTTAACAAAGCTCGCTAGAAAGGTCTAACAAGAATCTGAAAATCTTAAAATTTTTCCTATCTATTAATTTTTCAGTAGATTGGTATTCTTTTTAAATACATGGTCTTTGGTTTTACTCAATCCTATGCTTTTTCTACACGATGTTTCATTTCTGAGTCGAAGATACTGATCAATATGTAAACGACTCTTATCTTGTATTCAATTTTTAACTCGTTCATTTTTCTAATAACTAATAAAATAATATTTATCATAAAATATAAACTTTTAGCTGTATTTTTCTTTATTATAGCCCTACCTTTTACAGGTGGCTTATTATGTAAAACAGCGAAAGTCGCAAATTTGCGTAAGTTGATTTGCGATTCGCAAGTGGTTTGGTACTATGTAACAAAATCGCATGGCAAAAATTTTGAACTGCCAGTACTTTCTAAAATTTTTTGTTTTTGAAATTTCTGACAGTTTTTTCAAAGTAATCATTTGAATTATTTTAAAATAGTCATACATTGAAATATTTGACTAATTTAAGAATAATATTATATTAAGGAGGCGATTTAATTAATATATATACATTTAAATATATGTATGTATATTAAGGAGGCGATTATAGTTATATTTTTAAAATATGGATAGGAAAAGACTTTTCAGGCTAAGATTTAAATATTGCTCGTGCTTAGCAAACCTTTTCAGTTATAATCCAAACTTGTAAGACTATAGATAAAAAGTTAAGCCCCATAAAAAAAACTGGAAAGTAAATTTGAAATGCAAGCTGTTTTTAATTAAAGTAAAATAAATGCAACAGATACATTGTCTAGTTTTATTTTTTCAAAAACTTAAGACTTTCGCAATAACGCAAGATTCGTAAAAAAAATGGCAAGTAAATGAGAAGGATGCGAAAGTAGTATTCTGTAGGACCAATATATTCGATTTACATAGTGTTAAAATTTAAAATGCAAGAATCGTTTAGCGAAAGTAGCAAGTAGAGGATGATGTAGCACATCGAAAAAAAATAACAGTTTTTTGAGATAATTAGCGTTTTTTGAAAAATGTTCTACTTTCAATTCAAAAGTTTGTTTGAGCAGCTATTTCTTAAAAACGGCAACTAAACTAAAGTCGACTAAATTATAGGACAAATTTATAATTATTGTTACTTATCAATTTATGAAGGTTAAATGTTGTCCTTAATACGAATTTTTGTGTTCACTTTTATTTGTGTGTATTTGAATAAAAATTCTGCAGCTCTAAAAAAAAATAAGGCTGAAATTATTCCGTTAAATTATGTTTGAGTTATTTTTGGTTTAAAAAATAAGGGATTCAAAATTCAACATTTGCTAGGAAGGTAGGTACCTACAAAGTTCTTAAAAATTGATATAAGACAGGAATAAATTTAATTTACTAAAGCAAATATCTCAAGTTACGCATATGCAAATCCGAGTACAAAATATAATTGCTTATTTGATTTTTTACTAAACAAACCCATAGTTCTTTTTTAGCTTAAAAAATGACTAGGTATACATACATGCATATGTATATTTTTTACAAAATCCATATAAACGGACATGTATATATTTATTTACTCCTTAAAAATATTTCAAATATGAAATTTAATTTTTGTCATAATTAAGTGCTTAAATTTATTGAAAACAACTCCAAAATTTCAGTTCTGCTCTGTGCCTGTGTTTAATTTAAAACATTTAACAAACAAAATAATATGATTCTATGACTTACCATACGTGAGTATAAGTATATGCATGTAAATGTGTATTATATTTGTATATATGTATATATGTAATCATTAAAGCACATATTTTAGTACTTACTTGTCTCATTGCCTCTAAAGTTCGATTATTTGATTCGGCTTCGACCAAAAGAGAATTAGATAACGCCACTAATTCTTTGTTTCGATTAGCCATCTTTTGGGCCTCCAAGATCAATTGTTGTATATTAATTGACATTTCAAGAAAATTGGCTTTGCTTTCTGTATATGTTTTGTCAAAATAAAATTAAAAAGAAAATAATAATCTGGAAGAATATGAAAAAAATGTTGAATAATTTATATCATATTTTTTTACTAAAGAGATGTCAAGTTAAATATTTCAATAGAAGTAAGTACCTTCATATTTTGTTATAATTAAATAGGGAAAACTAACTCAAACACAAATCACACAAACACTTAAATTATTTTATATTTTATGGAACTTACATGAATCTTTTTTTTCGTATATTACTTTAACATTAAATTTCAAATAACTCTAAATTCAACGTCCTTTCTTAAATCAATTCACTTATTTATAATTTACTTTACACTATTATATTTTTTAAAACTGCAATACTTTAAACAGAAAGAAAAAAAAGAAATTCCAAAATTGCGGAAGAGAAAATTCTGCTGTCAAATTGTTAAATACATTTTACGTTTTTTGACATCGATTGTCTTGTCTATATGATGTAACTGTCAAATAAGTGCTTTTTGCTTAACGTTGCTGACATAATATACATAACTGACAATGTGACAAGTCGCAATAGTTTAAAGAGTCATATGCCATATTTGAACGATATTACTTTCAATATTATTATATTAAAAATCAGCTATAGACACAAACGTGGTGTTCAAATTTTGTTGTTATAAAAAAGCAAAATTTGGAAAATATATTGTAAATCTATTAGAGATTTTCATAAACACAATACTGCGAAACAATAATGCGATACATACGCAATACATTTTTGACAGTTGTATAAAAACTTTTTCTATATTGAATTTTCAGTATTGTGTTCATGAACAAAAAATGTCGTTAGCAAAAAAAATTTATTTTTTATTATTACCATAGCTAGCGCAGTTAAATCAGCTGTACATTTTTTACTAGTTTTTGCAGTTTAGTTTTACATTTTTAATTGTTATTTGTTGTACTTAAAACTAATATAATTTCTTTTTGCTTCAGGTTTCTTTCTTCTTAATTTTTATTTTTCCCGAAATAGAATTTTTATACTATTTGGCCCAAAATAAATAAATTTTTTTTGTTTCTTATCGCAGACAGACCTAATGTTTATGAACAAACTTGATTAGCAACATTTGTTTATGAACACGATATACTGTGTTTTTGAAAAGGCCTATTCTCTCTTGAGTTTTTTCTGGCATTGAATACATCAAATATGTAATTTAATTTTGAAAACCTTAAATTTAAAAATTGTTATATTTGCCACCACATTTCAATGGCGATATGCTAAAATTGCATATGAATTTTTTTCAAAATGACATTTCTGAAGAATCAATTTTTTTTATATTTTTTTTTTGGAAAAGTTATGATTTTTTCCTATTTTCAATTCGAGTTTTCTATACTAAAAGTTGACTAAAACCTAAAAAATAAGATATGGAGTTTTCTGAGCAACATATAAAAATTCAAATTTCAACTCAAAATTTTGAGTTGAATATATTTTTTTTTTATATAAGTTTTTTTCGAATTTTTTTTGTACCAAACTTTTTGTATTAATGGAATTTTTCCATGCAACTGGAACGGGTCATAGCAGAAACATTTTTAAAAAAATTTCTCCTCAAACGGGACTCGAATCAGTGACCTACCGTTTTCTACGCTCTACCAACTGAGCTAAAGAGGCATGGAGATTGCCGGAAAATTGTTCTTTACTTTGCTGCAATCCACATGATTACTAAGTATTGTTTACATGAGATACTACATGCAATCTTCTATTTGAAACACGCAATCACAAGAATATATAAATAGACATTTTGCCTTGACTCCTACCTTTGATTACGTCATGCATCTGTTCTACAGTCGTATGTAAAAATTTCCAATAGTTATTGTTACAAAACCTTTTGTTAAAAAACAGGATTTGAAGATTTTCAGATCTATTTCAAGATTTTAGTAAAATGTATAAACACAAAAAATTATCACGATCTTCGATTTTACTAATTTTAAGTTCTATCTCAACTATTATTGATTTTGAATAAAAAAAAATCATTCTCAGAAACAATTGACGCTTTTAAGAATTGTTATTTTAAGAAAATTTAATTTTATGATTTTAAAGAGCTATTCTATCTTATTTGAGATTAAAGTTATAAATACAAAACTTATGTAGGTATGTTAAAATTTCTGTAGCTCGTGAAAAGTTCGGAATTGACTATGTTCCAAAGAAAAATTTTACTCATTATCAAACGTCTTTTGCCTATGTGGTGATATATGGCTACTAACTTGTTGCTGAGTTATACTGTGTACAGTTCTGCTAATGTCTTTATATCTAACAAGTCCCAATGCTCAGAGAGAAACTTGAAAGCACGACCTTATTTTATATGGCCTTTTTTAAATCGAAGTGGCTATTTTTTGAGAAGAAATATTAAAATAAATTCACACTTATTATAAAGCAGGTAAAATTTAGAACATATATTTGAAAAATCAAAAAAATATATTAATATTTTCATTGATAATTATTTTAAAAAAAGCGGAAAAACAACAAACACAACCTTCACCTTCAACGTTTTATATGTTACTGAAAGCATTTCATTATTTTTAAGTCAACAGCTTTTTTTTCTCATAGGGTAAGCTAACTCAAGATATGGGAAGTACCTGTGGTGTCAAGTTGAAAATATAATTAATGAAAGATAATTATTAAATATTGATATAAATACGTAGTAAAGAAAAAATTTGAAGAGGGAATTAATAGGGAGAAAATAATATCTAAAATACAATCAAATATTAACTGTTAAATACAAATTTTATATAAACTTCAAAATTTTACCTCTACTTTTATTTGAAAAAATATTAAAAACTTACTATCATTTATATCAATTACCTAAGAAAAAAAAATATTTAAAATGTTTGGAAAAAACAATCATATATTTTTATGACCGGATTTGAATATTTTTCTATTTTTGAAATAAATGGTATTTTACCAAATGACTCAAAAATTCCGACTGTAAAATAACAGGTATTTTAAAAATTTTGTTCAGGTATTTTAAAATACTTTCCTTTTAGAATTAAGATAGGTCAAACATACACATGCAGGGACATTTTATAAATAGATTGCTCTTGTTTACCTGCTAATAAAATATGAAAAATGAGCACAGTAAAATTTTTGAAGCACCCAATATAACATGTTTGAAATAGTTTTAAAATAATTATTTAAAAAATAATTTATTGGAAGTAGGTACATACATATTTATTTTTAATAACTTAAAAACTAACTGAAATTATTTGAAACAATTTTATAAGTAACGTATAAATAACCGAAATGAGATAATTCAAATTGTTGAAATGTGTCAACCTATATTACTTTTAATAACATTTTTGTTAGCCGACACTACTCAACTTGCCTTATTGGGAAATACAAAATGTGCATGAAAAATCATACATCCTTCCTCATTAACATTTGAAACCATACTGAACTATGAATTTGAAATTTTTTATCATTTTTTCTTTCCTCCTACCTTTCTTTCTTTTTCGTGCAATAGAATTTAAATGGGAAGCTTTTTAAAAAATGTGTATAATATCCTGAGATTTTTTAAAATATTAAACTCTTTTTTACGTAAAAGAAAAGAAAAAAATAATAAAAAATATGACACGATCAGTGGCATTTAAAGAAAAAACCAACAACGAGGCTAAAAAAAATTGAGTATTGGGACTTGTTAGATATAAAGACATTAGTTCTACAAATAAGTTATTGTTTTTCTAAAATCAACTGTGCTTTCAATCTCTGTGAAAATTGAACAACATAATATCCCTTCAAACATAAATTGAATAGAAACTCCAAAAATAGGAATTTTTAAAAATACATTTTTACCATCAGCCTTTGTCTGACTGCAAATAATAGAAATTATTCTAATCGCATTTGATTTACGGTCAGATTTGTAACTAGCAAAAATTAATTTTTTGCGAGTTTTGAGCAGCGATCAGCTGAGTTTTATATTTATTTTCGCAACAAACTTTTAAATTTTGACGTACGGTTTGAGATAATTTCAGTCTGATAAGTAATCAGTCTGTTTACAAAAATTCTGTTGTCACCAAACTATTTTAGTTTAAGTATAAAGTGATATATCTAATAATATTATAGAAAATTTCTAAACGTTATCCATAAAAATTATAGCTTGTCTACTGGGTAAATGTCATAAGTATGTTCATTTGACATAAAATTATTTCGGGCATATTTATTCGTGCAGTTTGGTTGACGGCCTGACGGGAGAAATTTTCGTCCCAAAAATTGTATTTTTATATATAAAAATTGTCCAAGAAAAATAAAATTTCTTTTATTAAAAAAAGTGAAAAAATATATTGTATATAATCAAGTTCTTAAATATGATAAAATGAATTGAATTAATATTAGTTATTATATAAAAGGAATTGATTTATAAAATGCAAAAAAGAAATTCGGCGTTTTCATATTTTTCATATAAATGCTTTTAACAAATACGTTAAACAAAGACAAAAAATACAAAGTGCATAAATAAGTATAAATTGTCAAAACAATGTGTGCAGAAGAGAGAAATATAGTGCGAAGAGACGAATGTATGTAAATGAAAAAAGTATTAAAAATAAAAAATGATGTTTTTTAAATGTTTATATCTATTTTAAAAAACTAAAATTGGTTTTGAAATATGGTGCATGGTATGGATGCAGTTTTAATTGAGATAAATTTATTTACTAAATAACATGAAAATAAAGTATAATTAAGAAATTTTTCGTTGAAAATGTGTCAATTTTTTTGGCTGGTATTTTTAATGTTGCTGTTTAAAATAGTCATACTCTTCTAATGAGAATAGATCTCACTCTTTTATTTAATAACTAATACTATTAAAATGCACACGTTTTACGTATTTCTGTTGTAGAAGAATTGTTATTTTGACGTAAAATTTATAATGTGTGCGTGTTGGATTTTCACTTAACTGTCAAAATGACATGTTTTGACAAAATTAAAAAAAGTTTACCACAAAAAAAAGTTAAAAAAATTTAAATGAGTCGTATTTTCATTGCTTTACATAAAAATTCAACTAATATTTGTTTTATTAAGAGTTATTTGGAAATCAAAAAAAAATCTAAAAGAAGCTTTAACATAAATGTTTAATATTTAAAGTTTTGTTGATAAAGAAATCAATTCACTGTCAATTTGATTTATTTTTAAAACAAAAAATAAAAATGCTTCGAATTGTAATCCATTTAGAATTGTTTATTCCATATATGTCCCAAATAATATTGAAATTTAAAGTAAACATTAATTTCTTTGCTGCATTCAAGAAAATATACCATAGCAAAGTCTATTCTTAAGACGAATAAAATTTATTTGATTTTTTTTTGTAAAATTCACTAGGCGCAACATAAGAAGGTTCCTTAACACCTACAGTACAGTATACATACATGTACATTTCTTTTTAAATTAAAAAAATTGAGTTACTTTCCTTAATACCTACTTATTTTTTTTTTCATTTTAGTTTTCTCAAATAAAATTTTACTTTAAAAACATAAAACTTTAAGATATAACTAAAACAAAAGTAATCTGTAAAAGTGAAAAGGATCGTTTTTTTCCTTTTGTTATTTATTAACTAACAATTTAATAAGTGAAATCATACTAGATAATAAATTGGATGTCGACGATTCAGGCAGCGGCACCATGCAAAGTACCCTGGACTCATCATGTCAAGAAGCTGATGTAAGTTTATCATGCATAATTACTAAAGCTTTATTTCTTAAAAAAATAAATTCTACTTCCAAAACGTGTGATTTTTTTTTTTAGAACTCAAACTTGAGTAAAAGCCAAGTTGAGTTATAAGTCTGAAAAAAATAATGATTTTTCAACTTTTTAAGAAATTAAAAACATTAAAAAAGATTAAAAACACCTCATTTGATAAAATTTATTTCAATATCTTAATTTAGGATTTGATCTTTTGAAAAAATATATGTAATATACAAATGTTTTATATTTTAGTTCATAATAAATAACACACTATTAAAGTTACAAGGATCAGCCGCAGCTGCAGCCGCAGCGGCATCTTCTAATACATCAAATGTATTATATCATCAAACGGCGTCAACAAGTGCCGGTGGTATTGATGGTGATATTGGTCTTGCAACATCTTATCAAATTCAGACACAACCGCAATCAACATTACTACAAAGTTCCACTGGGCCGTTTCATACCCCATTTTCATCATCAACATCAAGTTTATTACATAATATAACACAAATACCAAGTCAACCACCAGCTTATATATTTGATGGCGTTGATTCTCCTCCAGATTATAATTTAACAACACTTACAGATGAAGAATTGCAAGCTGCGGCAGCTGCAGCTGTTGCTGCTGCTGCCGCGGATCAGCAACAACAGAACCATATTACATCCGATTTGCCGTCTCCAACATTACTTTCTAATATCAATTCAATAATATCACCATCTCCTATAGTACCCGACACGTTATTAAGTACTCCAGTTGAAACATCACCACCACCACCATCTTTACCGCCATTATCTCTTCCACCTCCATTATCAATATCACCAGTAATAAATATACCAGCATCAAATTCCTCAAAATCGCAGCCACAACTTCAGATGCACCTGCATTCGCAACAGAAACCAGGGAAACGATCAGTTATTTTAAATGATGTTGTAAACATTGGGGGAGGTAATAATAGTAACAGCGGAGTAGCAACATCATCACCGAAAAAGCCTAGATATAATACCAGTAATTTAACTTATGGGACGCATTCTACTACATCCCCACCTTTATTGCAACCATTATCTTCAACTTCATCATCATCTTTTCCAGCAAACACAATGTCTGTCATTCAACAGCAACATCCCACACTGATTTCATCAATAAATAACAGCGCTGGTAGCTTAAATAGTAATTTAAATCAACAAAGTCAGCAACTGCATCAACAGTTACAACAAAAACCGTTGTCAAGTGGTGCTTCTACTTCAACGAATATGATTAATAACAGCATATTAGGAGGAATTAATAGTGGATTCAATCAAAACACGTCGCCAACACCCTCAAAATTTTTCGATATATTTGAAAAAATTAGAGAATTATACTTGTATTTACTCATACACGACGAAAAATCCCTCAAAGAACATCGGGTAGGTATCTTTTATTTAAACGATCTTTTGTTTTAAATTAGATAGCTGGCAGTACATTGTACATGTTTACAAAACTTTTATTCCAGTGTAATAAAAAGAGTTCATTCACTTAATATTTTATTTGATTTTGCATATTTCAGCGTCGTCATCGGACCCGCTCCTTTGTTTTAGAGCGCTTAGTGGAACGCGAAAAGTTAAACACAGTTGTATTAAATTTGCATCCGGGCAATAAAGGATACTCATTAGCATTTTATCAAAATGACAAAAACGTAAATTCAGTAAATAATGAAAAAACAGGAGGTTTAAACAACAATAATTATCATAGTAATCAAAATTACTCTATAGATAATTTACCAAATGATCGTTTAAGTGGTCAAAATAATAACAATTTTAATAATTTAAGTAATGATAATAATATTAATAATTTAAATAACAATACTAGTAATATTAGTAACAATATATACCGAACAACAACTCAACCATTTAGCAATTATAGAATTAATAATATAAGAAACATTGGTGGTATTACCAGCAACAGTTGGAGTAGAAGTAGTTTTTTTAATAAGGTTGGAACAACCTCTAGTCGAAACAAAATTCAAAAAGGAAATAAAAAAAGTAGTAGTCAAAAACAACAACCAACGGCACAACCACAACAATCATCATTATTTCATCAACAACAACAACATCAGCAACAGCAACAACAAATAGAATCAAATAATCCGAAGCTAAATACATCAAACGCTCCAACTTTATATGACTTTGATGAAAATGATTTTTTAGACACTAGTAGTAATAATGCTCAACAAACGGATTTATCTTTAGATCATGATCCATTTAGTTTTATAGACGAGACAATTCCTGATAATCTATTTTTGGATTTTGATGATCCTATTGATTTATTTAGTTGCAATAACATAGAAAATAATATTTCTTTAAATACAACAACGACTACTGCAGCTACTCATGGGATAGGTACTAATAATATAAGTATCAATATAAACTCCAACTCAATTAATGCAACGGAAAAAGATAATTTAGATGATAAAAATTTAATCGAAGTGATGCGCTGGCCATACGAAGTAGATGATGTACTGCAATCAATTGATAATGAAGCTTTACCACAAATTTTCATAGATTTACTAGAAAATCGGACACCCAATGTCTTTTACTCCGGTTGTATCATATGTCAGGTACGCGATTTTCGACAAACTTTTCCAATTTCACCAAATAGCTGTGATATATATCATGTGTTGTTGAGACCCACCAATGATACATTATATGCTGATATACAACAATTACAATCAGATAATGATTTAACTGCTGAGGAAAAATTGCAAATAGAGTCACAATTAATATTAGCAACAGCAGAGCCATTATGTTTGGATCCAGATCCGCGTATTGGTAAGTATTCAGTGTAAGCTATACACATGAAAAATATTAATATTAGAAAATACATTACCTTTCAAAGGACGTTTCGCTATTAATCAACAATTTAAAAAGCAAATGTTTAATACACAAAAAATGCGAAGGCAGATGAAAAAATATTCTCAAATATCGATAAATCGTAAAAGAAAAACTGATCAATTTACTCATAATTATGGTTTGGAATTGTGCGATTATTTACAAAGAATACGCCAAAGGCCTAGAGTTGGCAGTTCTGCTACTTCCGGCTTAGGAAATAGCCTATTAAGCAGCCATATGAATTCGTCAACGTCAGCTGTAACGACGGGGTGTAACACTAGCACGAACAGCGCCACTAATACAACAACTAACTTAGCTCAATCAATAGCTGCCACAACACAAAGTATTTTGTCTTCGTTTTCATCAAAACTGCCAAAAAAACCAGTGGAAGTTATGAAATCTATGCGAGTACCAAATTTGGATTATCCACCGTTAACGATACCTGATGATGTTCAAGTTCAAAAGTATGCTAAAGCATATGAAAGATCTAGAGAGACTAAAGACTGCATGCCGCAAATCGTTGAGGAATATATATTAGAGACAGATCGTGAAGGTGGTAGAGTCTATCATATAAAACTTTCTATTTATCAAAGACCAGCGAATTCAGAGTATTTAGGAGAATTGTACGTTGATCGGTAAGAATCATCATTTATTTAGTTGAAAGGTATATGTTTTAATATTAAATTTTCTACAGTGACTATCGCAAAGGAGAGCGAAATGGCGAGTCATGCCATTTTACGCTTGGTACACGAGCTCATGCGAATCGCTATATCCAACAATTTACAGAAATATTTACAGAGGAAGGACGTAAATCGGTCAAAATTACTCATTTATTTCCTGGTCAGAATCCAAAGGTTACATTAACGTCCGGAATGACGGAACACATAAAGCAACAACAACAGCAGCAACAACAGCAGCAACAACACCTTGCTCAACAGCAGCTTACGCAGCAAGCATTAGTTGCTTTAGCTCAACAACAACAACAACAACAATTACAGCATCAAGCTATTATAACTACTGTGCATAATCAACAACAACAAACACAACAACAACATCAACAGCATATACAAATTCAATCGACACCTCAACTAATTACTTCAGCAACTGGCAATCAACAACTAAATTTAAATATTCAAGGTGGTAATATTGTTGGAATAACGACCTCAGGAGGAAATGTTCAACATATAAGACAACAACCAACAACGCAGCAATTTATAGATGCTACAGGAGCAACTGTACAAGTACAGACACAAACACGCGGACACCATCAATTAAGCTTGAGTAATGGTTCCTTAGTATTAGTACAGCAGCAGCCTGGACAAAATTCTTCTGGCGTAACTACTGGTTTAACAATACAAACTGCCAGTGGGCAACAAAAAATTATTAATGCAAGTCAACTGGCTGCTGCCACAGGTGCTAGCGCAAATGCTTTACGTGCACAATTAAGTTCAAGTGTGCCAATACTGGTATAAATTCAATTTTTGTTTTTAGCATCTTTTAGATATTTTTCATGTTCTCTTACAGCAAGCGCAATTAAAAGCGGCACCTATTATAACCACAACAAACCAGCAACAACAAATAATTCAACAAAAAAATCAATCAACCGGCGTTACAACAACCATGCATTCGACAAATCCTACCATTAATGCGCTTGTAACTGGTTTTATGAATACTGCAAATCAACTCCAACAACAACAACAACAATCGCAGCAATCTAATGGTAATTGATTGTAATTGGCTATTAATAATTAATGTCTTAATAAGATAATTTTAATATTTTAATATCAATAAAACTTTCAGTTCATTCCAAACCAAGTTCATCTGGCAATGCCGCCATATTAAGTCTTCTTAATAGCGCACCAGCAGCAATGACAAGTACTCCAGTGGCCAGTAGCACTTTTACGACAATATCTGCTGGTCAGTCCCAAGCCACGTTAGTGCCACAACAACAACAACAATCGCAGTCTCATCCAGCAATTATTTCAACAGAAGCAATATTACAACAACACCAACAACAGCAAAATGCTGTAGCGCAACAACGTAAACAAAATGAAGTCATTCAAAATTTGCTCAATTCGAATCTTCGAAAAATTAATATGGTTACAACAGGGAGCGGACAAACAACTACAAGTCGAATAATTAATCAAGGAGGTAATTTGATAGCAGTGAATGTCGGTCCAATAAATCAACAACAACATCCGCAACAACAACAGTCACAGCAGGATAATAATAATGCTACACAACAACAAACACAAACTTCACAACAAACACAGCAAATCATTGTACAGCAACAACAACCTCAAAGTGTACGAGTAACCATGTCCGCCTTAGCTACGCAATTAGCTTCACCGCCTGCTGTAATGACAAATGCTAATGCTACATTTTATACAGCTGCTGCTGCAACTAACACAAATCTAGCCAATAATAGCAATAGCATAGCACTTAGTAATAATAACATAAAAATTTTAAATAACACCATTTCACAGCCATCGAACAATAATTCAGTTCAATCGCAAATGACACCAGCTGTACCACCTCCACCACCTCCAGTGGCGTCTCAACAGCAGCAGAGAATAATTTCTACAACACGCTTAAGTAGGGATAGTTCTACAATCAACGTCGCGGCTCCTTCTCCAGGAAGTGATTCAAATCAATCAAATCAATCAGCCACTTCGAATCTTGGTTTCGCGATGCCGGGTTTAAGTGCTTTGCTAGCCGCTCCTGCTACACCTAGTCCTTCTGCTAATGTTATTAATGAACATTCAACGCAAGTACAACCGCAACAAGCGGCTGGACAACAAGGAACTTTAGTTGGTATTACGCAAACTGGTCAAACAATAACGAATCAGACATTATTAGAAAGACTGAATAGTGGTACAAATATGGTTGGTGCAAACAGTCCAGTGGCAACAACAACTCAACCTGGATTGTCTCCTCAGCAATCACAACAACAGCAGCAACAAACACAAAAATCTATTTTGCAACAACAAATTGTTAATGTCCAATCTCCAGTTCCTTCAATATCTCCTATGTCTAGTCCGCCTCCACAACAAGCCCAACCTTCGCCGCAACAACAGCACCAACAACATCAAACTCAACAACAAATACAAATAACACCAGCAACTTTACAACACAATTCTGGGCAGCAGACTACAACATTAAATTTAGTAGGAACTAATTTAAGTTCACTAAGCGGTGCTATAGCAACCTTTCCTAGTTTACAAAATGTTCAAGTTCAAATACCTGGTTTAGCTCAACCAATTCACTTATCGGTGTCAGGTGCAAGTTTGTCCGCAGCTTTGCAACAGCAACATAATGCAATAATAGCTGCTGCGCAGCATCAACAGCATCAACAAAACAATCAACAACAACAGCAAACACAACAAACTACAAGCCTTCTAGTATCAGTTCCTGTAACAAGTACAACACAAACAATTCAAACAGTTCCTGGTAATGGTGGTAATAATGGCACGCCAACCTTAATTAGCAATAATAACAATGGAATTGGTAATAATGGTGGTAATACGAATATTGTGACTGTACCTGCTAGTGTTGCCGCGACACAGACGGTTGTGTTAACAAATGCTTCAGGACAAAATTTAGTTCCTGGCACACATTCACTATCATTACCATTAGGTTAGTGTTGCTTTTTCGTGCAAATAATATGCCAAAATTTGAATCTATTTATTGTAAAATTCACCGAAAATTTTTCTTTTAGCTCAACTAGTTGCTTCAGGAGTAAAAATGCATCCACAAACTATAAGAGCTGTTCAACAGCCACAGCAACAGCAGCAACAACAATCTCAACAAGCACAGCAAAATACCAGTGTGACCAATGTTGTAAATACTAGCAATATAATTCAAGCAACGGGATTAAATACATCTAGTATAGTTGGTGGCATTAATAACGTTAGCTTAGCTCAACAGAATGCGGTTAATACAAATTTAATAACCAGTAACAATGTAACAGCGCAAACGAATCCAACTGGTAACATACAACTACTTGGAACTCTACAGCAAAGACCTCGTAGCATACAAGTTGTTGGTGCTAAACAATTAAGTAATCGTAGCGCAAATGTTACAATCGCTGGAAATACCGGTACTAATCAAATTGTAAATACACAACGAAGTATAGGTGGCCAAACCTTAAAAATAGCAACACCAATAAGTGGTAAAATATGTAAGTTGGTTTATTCGCACATATTCAAGAATATAGATTGTATCAAAATATTTCATATTCTTCTCTAAAAGTCTTCCCTTCCTTTTGTTAATATCCGTGGACTTATAAAAAGCAAATTTTGACACATGTCAGTCAGTGTAACGTAATATAAAGCTATAGATAAGCCTAAGATATATACATATGTAAGACCAAGATATATATATAAGCCTAAGATATACATATAAGTATTTTATAAAAGCCTAAAATTATATATAGATATATACAGCCAGTCAAAAAAGTTTTCATACACTGAATGATTCTGTATATTTTTATACCCGTACGAACATATGTTCGAAGGGTATACTAAATTTGCCTTACCGTTTGTAACGCTAAGAAATAATGCTCTGAGATATAGACTCAAGTGTATGTTTTTGATCATCGTCGAATTCTGAATTGATTTAGCTTTGTCTGTCCGTCCGCCCGTCCCAGCAATAACTCAAAAACTAATTGAGCTAAGTTCACCAAATTTTCACAAATGATTTATTGTTGAAAGTGCCAGAGCCCTATTCAAATTGGACATGATCCGGGTACCGGTTCGGGTAGCTGCCATACAACTTCAAAAATTATTTGGCTATATCTGAGAAACTATAAAAGCTGTGGTATTGAAATTTCACACAAACGAATATATTATTAGAGCCAATGTGCTTGATAAAGGTAGTTGAAATTGCTTGGCTCCTTCTGGTAGCTGCCGTACAACTTCAAAAGTCATTTGGCTATATCTCAGAAACTATAAAAGCTGTAATATTGATATGTCGCACAAGGGCCGATGTGTTTGATAAAATTCCTTAAAATTGCTTGGGTCTTCCTGGTAGCTGCCATACAACTTCAATAGTAGTTTGGCACATACAGTATTTTGAAAAAAAAACACTACTGAAATTTTGCATAAATTAATATGGTAATACGGCAACTTAATGTCATAATCTGTCCCATAGTCAGTTATATCATATTTATTCGCACATAAGATAACAAATTCAACTCTATTTTTTTTCGTTAGCTCTAGAACTTAAACCGTTAAAGATTTTCAATTTAATTTTTGTATTTTAGTTTTTACAGCAATTATTTGTACTAAGTTATAACAAAAAATAATTTAAAGTTTAATTCAACAAAAAAAATTAAAAAAAAACAAAAAAATTAACAAAAAATAACATCAAAAAGTATTCATACAGTAATATTATTATTCACGTTATTGCAAAAAATTGTTATTAATATATTTTTGAGTTGCCTTTTATTGCTATTACAGCATTTAAACGATTTTTCATACCACCATCCAATTTGGAAATCTCTTGAGGTGTTATATTTGTCTACTCATTTAAAAGAACTCCCTTAAACGATGTTGCTGACGTAATTTCATGTTTTCTAATACATCGTAACTGCTTTGGCATATTGAAAATTAGCCATTCTTTAACGATTTTCGCACAATTTTTAGGGTCGTTAACCTGCTGAAACATGAATGATCGCACATTATGATTTTTTCGGCACTTGGCTTTATATTATTTCGCAAAATATTTAAATACCCATTTCTGTTCATAATGTTATCAATAAAAACGAGGTTACCAACTCCAACAGCACATTATCGTTTGTTGAAAGCAGTATATGGTTTTCGCCACAATTTTGGATGACCATCACTACCAAAAATATTACACTTACTTTTATCACTATAAAATGACGTTATTCCAAGAATCATTCGATTTATTTGAGTGCTCTTTAGCAAATTTAAGCCGTTTTGTTCATCTAAATAAAAATCTTTCATATGAAAGGTTTTTGTTTAGATGAACGTCCATTAAAACCAGCATTTTGTAAAATATTTCGAGTTGTTTGAGGAATGCAGTTCTTCTCTGCTAAATCTTTCATTTTGTGCTGAATAGAAAAAGCTCAAATTTTTGGTTCGTTTTTGCTGACCGTATTGTGCACACAATAGGTAGGTTATGTGATGGCAACAAATTTTGCATATCGACTATTCGGTGGGAATGCACTTCTCCATAATAGGGAAGTGCAAGTAAACTATTTTTAGCAACCTGTCCGATTTTGATGAAATTTTATATGTAAGTTAATTTCAACCATGGCACGGATTGATCAACTTTTGGGATATATCAGGCCTCGGGAACTGCACTTTTTAGCGGGCCTGTTTTACATTTTTGACCATTTTAAAGAAAATATTCAACCGATTTGCTTGAAATTTCATATATAAGCTGCGCTCGACCGTCCGCAAAACCTCCTAACTTTTGGAAGAAATGAGGCATCAGCAACTGGACATTTATTACGGGTAAAATATACATTTTTGCGTATATAAAGAGAAATAATCAACCGATTTCATTGAAATTAAATATTTAAATTCTTCGTATTAAAACAATTAACATATAAATTTTTTGGAAAGATCAGGGCTCGAAAACTGATCTGCGGGCTGATTTTACATTTTTCACCATATCTATGCAGCGAATTGATGGAATTTCGTGAAATTTGATATTTGAGTTCTGGTTGTTAACGAAACTAGCTGGCGAGCATTTCAGAGAATTTGGGTAGCACAAAGCGAAATGCTATTAAGAGCCAAATTTACATTTTTCTAGGTATGTTAACTTACTAATGTCCAAAAAATTGAAAAGAAGTATTTAACAGACATTTTTATAATATTCTGTAACATTTTCACTTAACTAGACAATACACACTGCGGTCGGTTATGTGCTGACCACATCAGATTTTTTACCATGTTGACAGTAACCGGCTGTTCTTTCGAAGTGAATATTTTTGGTCGACCACTTCGTGGTTTAATAGTTGCTGTTCTGTTTTCTTTCTAAATTTTTATCACATATTGGACCGTGGCGTGACTTATACCTGCACTGACTAAAATATCTCGAAGAGATGTTTGCTCCAAATGTAACTTGCATGCCTGTTAAAATTTTTATGCACCTGCCTATATTTTTTTATAACAGTAATTTTACCAAAACAAAAATACACTAGTAACACAATAATAGAATGATTTTTGAATATTAATAAAGAAAAATGTTTTTAATCAAAAATTATGCTTAAAATTCTGTTTAATTCGGGGACTTCTCTATTTCGTATAAACATTTTTTAAGTTGACATAAACTTTTTTGTTAACTTCCGAAAGAAACTATTGCTTAAATTTATTTTGAAAAATTAACTCAAAAAATGAATTTTTTGGGACTTGAAAATAAAACCTTCAAAGTGTATAAAACCTTTTTTGACTCACGTATAAAAGCCTAAGATATATATATATATATATATGTATATCTTAGGTTTATATACATATCTATATAAATATATATATATTTATATAGATAAATGTCATGGCTAAATAATTCAAATTTATATGTACTTTGCACAAGTAAGAAAGTAATATTATAACAGACAGGCCAGGCCAATGTGTTTTTAGATATTTTGTACTTAAAGTTTTTTACTTTCAATATTTCTTCCCTATGGAATATATTACTTAATTAATTCACGCCTTGTTGAAAAGACCAAAGATTCTAGAATATGTCCATTTAGTCTAAAAACAGATTTCATTATTGCGGAAACTCTTGGTAAAACTTCAATTAAAAAAAAATTAAATGTAACTACATGCTCTTCGTAGCAATTATTTCTCAATGCAATTGCGTAATGCAATTATTTTCTACATAATATTTTAGAAGCTTTTAATGAGTAAGGTATTGAAATGCTTACATAGCTATAATTTGCATATCAATTTGCTTATCTAATTGTCATAAAATTCAATTATATTTCTTTATTTAGCATCATCACAATTAACTACAGCCAATTTAACTGCCAATCCATTGGTAATGACTACACAAAAATTACAATTAAAATTCCAAAAACAAGGATTAACTCAGCAGCAGCAACAAACAATATTGCAAACAAATCAGCAGCAACAACAACAGCAAATAATTTCTAATTCAAATGGTGGTAACTTAGGAAATTCATCAAATTCTTCGAACATAAATGTTGTAGGGCAACCACAGCAACAACCCCAACAACAGCAACCAACTCAACAACAGCGTATTATAACCGCAGCCGCTGCTGTTGCTATGACCAATCAAGCAAATCAGAAACGACGAAGATCGGCGACTGATGTAAATAAATAAAATTGAGAATATACAGTGAAATAAAAAATCGTTGAATACATTAAAAATATTTAAACATTTCTAGACATTAAGATTGGGAAAAAAACTCAAGATTTATTTATCTTTTTTTTTCTACTTTTTTTTTAAAGAAGAGTTCGGAATATTTTTTAACTATAAAATAAATACCATATATTTAGATCTTTTATATTTAAAATACATACTTCATTAAAAATATAAACATAATATAATATTATTATATTATAATCCATATTAAAATCACAAAAATATAGAACCTTTTTTTCTTGGAATAATTTGAAAAATTATAAAGATTTTAAAATGTTTTGGTGGTACCACAATAGGAGTAAGTTAGTTTTCGGTTATATAATTATTTCAGATAAGATCTATAAAATTTAAATAGTAAAAATGAATAAAATCAGCTTACAGTTGGTTTGCTCTAACCGCCATAGGTAATAATAAAGGCACAACATTGATAGTCAAAAGAACTTTCAATTATTTTAGAAAATCAAGTACATATTATTTTTCGGATAAAACTTTATATTTTATACGAAAAAAAATCAAGTGTTTGTTTCATAGAATTTCATTCAAAATATTCAAATTAAAATAGTGCCTTTTGAGTGTAGAACTGATTAGCATTTCTTATGCTTAGAATACATAATCGGCTAAATTTGAACTGGCTAAGATTCGCTAAGTAAAATAACTTTACAGTTTAAATAATGTTAAAGATTTTACAGAATCCTTTACACCTTAATAACAAAATAGACTCATGAAGTCGTAGAAATAATTTCTATAATAATTATGAGAATATAAGAAAAATAGGTCTCTATTTTTATATAAAGAAGGAATATATCTTATAAACTTCATATAATTCGTATTAGCAGTGGATGTTGGAGAAAGTGCATAGTATTACTTTTGGGTGGCTAAATTCCTTTTTCTCACTGTTATTCAAATTATTTGCTAAAATAAAATACTTAATTTATTTATAAATATTATTTAACCCAAATTATCCAAATGTGTAATTTCATATTATTTCTTGTTTCAAATTGAAGTAATGAAGAATTCTATGAAACATTCAGTCAATCTTTTATTATTTTTTTGCCTATATTATACGCAATAACAATTCATAAATATAAAATATTGGTAATTTTTCGCCAAAATGCTGTACATAATTATTAATTAATATTATTATTCTTATGATTATTTTCTGTTTAAGTAAATAAAGTTTAATTATTAAAACAACAAATAATATTGTAATTATATTGTGCATGATATGTAATTATTATAATTATTATTAATTAATATTATTATTATCGTCTAATGTTTCTCTTAGGATTAAAAAGAAACAAAATAAGTGAAAAATTTCAAAAAAAAGTTATAATAAGTAAATTTTACTATTAAAAATAAAAAGATAACAAAATTTGAAATGTTTCTTTTTCTTTTAAATATATATTTTTTCCGATTTTGTTAAAATCATCATAAATTGTATGATAGATATTAATTTTTTAGTTAGAAATTTATATACATATATAAATAACGGATATAAGTAGTGGATATGTAAAATAATATTGAATATAAAAAATTAAGTAAAAAAGAAAACAAAATTGTTAAAACAGGAATGCGTACCCATAAAAATTCTATTAATTTCGTAAATTTTTTTGTTCCCATTGATATTTTTTTCCAATAAATTTTAGAAAATTATTTAAATAAAATAAAATGAAGATTCTCTCAATAAGTTATATGCATATATACATCTATATACATATGCATACACGTTCACGCATATTATTATAATTATATTTAATAGATATAGTTTGCTTATAGATATATATATATACATATATAATATATATATGCAAATATTTCATAATATACATATGTATATGTATTTAAAGACGCGTGTCTGATATTGTGCACGCGGCATATATTGAATTAAAATGCATTACATTATTAATTCAAGCATTAATTACCTATATTCAAAAAATAACATAATTAATGTAAAATTTTTTTATAGAGAATTGAGTAGAGTCTACTCGATATTATGTAAGTTCAGAATTACGACTGCAAAATGTATAATAACTCGTATAATTTCATAATAGTATTTTACTAAGAGCTTTTTATTCAATGGTAAGTTTAAAATGTTCAGGGTTCTTTTTTTAAATGACAAGAAATATTATGTTGTTTACATTTTGTATATAAAAATTGAATGTTCTGCTTTTAAGAAATTCACAATTTTAGTTTTGTGTGCTATAAAATATCTTAAATTAATATATCGAAAAACTAGCATTCAATAGATTAATTTAAATATATATATAATGTATTTTTGAATAATTTTCTATAATACCTTCAACTTCCTGAGCGTTTAATGACTTGTCATTCATTTTGAATTATTAAAAATACAAGTCAATTTTGTATTATCTTTAACGTTTTGTTTCTAATTTTTAAATATTTTTGATTTTACTAATAGCTATAATGCCATTGATGGCATAAAAAGCACCCTTATTGGCTTTTAGGATCAAAAATTAAAGTAAAAACTTCTGAATAAAAACGGAAATTTAATTTTCAACTAACTCTGTTTTGTAAAATATTATATAATATACATATGTTATATATTTCTGTTATGTATATTTATATATTAAGTAAATTTAACATATTTTAGCTTATATTTATTGATATCAACTTATTATCATATTAATCCTGTGTTAGCAAATTTAAAATTGTAAAAAAAGTTTGAGAAAATATTTAGTAATCAAAAATTAAAATATTAGTATTATTAAAAATCAAATAATAATTAATATAAAATTTTATTAAAATTGAATTGTCATCAAGAATCTTATGTATTGTTTGTTTTGAACATTCCTTATGAAAGTCAATTTTATACATAAATATGTATATGCCCTATCTTTCATGTTACCGACAAAAATAAATTATAAATATTAATTTGCTTGAAATTGCATGAATATATTTTATATAATATATTTATTATATAATTTATAAATCTGAACTAAATATAATAATATCGCGCAGATTCAATTTTCATATTTAAAAGTTAATTGTTTCATTTTGATGTGTGAGGTAATATGCTGCCAATTCATTAACTGTATGCATTTAATACAATCTATTTCTTAATAATGTAAAATTTATTCTTTATTAACTTAAACTAATTTATTTTCTTTGAAAAATGTTAAATAAATAAATAAATTGAACAAAAATGTGGATTTTAGCAATTAATATTATTACGATTATTGTATTTTTTATTTTCGATTTTATTATTTGTAATATTTTTTATAATATAATGGATAATATATTAAAAAATTCATTCATAATTTTTAAATAGTTACTTAAATAGTATAAAAATTTTGGAATAAAAAATAAAATTATTTACATAAATTAATTAGAAAGATATGCAATACATTGTACTTTTAATTACTGATTTAAATTTGTTTTTTTTTGTTTAGTTGCCACAATTTTATTTCTTTTAAGATCATATAAAACAAGAACATTTTCAGAACAGAAAGAAAAAATGATTTAAAATTTAAAAATTTAGAATTTATAAAATATATGTATATTATACATATACAATATAAAATATACAAAATAATATATTAACAAAAATATTTATTATGTGTATGTATATAACGTATGCTTATATAATTTTAAATACATTTATCTCTGTTTCTATTAAAAATAGGCAAACTAAAAATTCCCGTTAGTAAAACATATACGTGAATATATATAAACATACATTGCTGAAGAATTTGATAAGGTCAAATATACATATATATTTATATATATATTTATGCATGCATTCAGAAAAATACTGAAAAAAATATGACACAAATTACAAAAATCAATATTATAAAATAACTAATTAAAATAAAAATCAACATAAATTGGCATAATTCAGAATATCAAAAAAAAATTTATTAGAGGAATTAAAAAAATTATTAATAACAATATTTTTATAAAAATTATAATTAATTTTTATTAATAAACATTCTATTAATAAAATTAATACTGAATTATTAAAAGAAAACTATACACATAATTTTATAAAATTATATACAGTATACACTTATGTTACACATATTAAAAAACAATAATGTTTTAAATTCCAAAATAAATTGTTAATAAAGCTTAACTAAAAATTTTCTGGGGTTTCTAGAATTTAAACTTAATTTTATAAATTAATATTTCAATGTTTTATTGAGGTGTCAAAATTTTTAAACAAAAACTGATTGAAATGGCACAAATTTAAGATATTGTTATATAAATTATTTATATAGTAATTTTCATTTGCAGATATGTATAATACATTATTATATAATTACTAGTATTATAGTGAATTAACAATTATGATTATTCCATTATCTGCATAAATATTATTAATTTAATCTTGATGCAGTTTATCACTCTAAAGTCACTTTGTTTCAACAGAAAAAAGAAGTTTACAAGGTTAATAGTTTACGATCTCACTCATCATATGAATGATGAGAGGAATAAAATTTATTTGGATCTGTTATAGGACATTTATAGAAAATATAATAAATTTTTCGTAGTGTTTGAATAAAGTTTGAATTTATTAGGAAGTTTTTATTTTATTAAAAGAAAAATAATTATTAGGAAAATATGCAACAAAAACAATATTTTTATAAAATTTGAAAAAGTTTTAATAATTCTGAAAAAAAAATACTATTTACGATTAGAATTGTATATTTAAAGATTCGTGATGTAGAGTGATATAACTTTAATAAAAACGTTAATTAATCAAAATTATACAACTTATTAAATTACAAATACATATGTATGTTTTATTAACATAGGGAAATTAATATAATTTTCATAATGTGTTAAAAAAGTGATTTCTCAGTATTAATTTATCTTTATAATCTTTATATCACTTGTTGTATCCATTTCTTTGAAATTAATGTTTGAAATATATTTCAAAACACATGGAAAAATAATTTTTTATTGTAAAATTTTAAAAACACAAATTCGAATTTTATTTCGGCTTTAAAACGAGTTAACAATCATTTAGCAAAATATGTATAATGATAATTTTATATTTTCAAGAATATTCTCATTTTTATTTTGTTATGTATATAAGCTTACATATGTATGTTTTAACATGAATTGTTAATTAAATTATTTGTTAATTTAAATAATTATTTTAGCTATTTATTGAAAATTACTATAAGGATTCACTAATAAAATTAATAAAACAAACAGCTTTTTTTGAATAACCCCAAAAAATATTAATTGAGCTAATCATTAATTTTTATATAAAATAATGCTATAAAATTTTTATATAAACAAAACGATTTGTTTTTTTAAAAAAAATATTTTTAATTTTGAAAACGTGTATTTGTATATATGCATACATTATTCGGTATATATTTCTATGACTATACATGTATACAGGGTGTCTCGCATAAGGTGGCAAATAATTTTCTTTGATCAATTTCCAGGAAAAAATTGTTTGGGAGGGAGCGGAAAATGCAGATATACTCGTTTTCGAGCTACAGTCTGTTAAAAAGAAAATGTAACAGATCTTTTCTGCATGTAAATAAATGCTAATAACTTCGGAACCATGCGACAAAGAGTAAACATCGCGGTTTGGTTTCACACTTCATTTACACTGGGAATTCAAAAAGTCTTCTCTGAAATTATATACCACCTTATGCGATGTTTACTGATGATGCACATGCATGCATGTGTGTATATATATACTAATGTATATACACTCAAGTATATATGATATATATAATATATATAATATATATATTATATATATTATATATTCATTATATATATATATATAATGAATTTATATATATGTATACCACTTTGAAACATCACTGAAACATGGATAATGCGTAATGTTTTACATTAGAATTTATTATAAAAAGAAAAATTGTAATTTATTTTTTCATAACTTCTTTGGAAATTTCGTTGGAAATTTCATAGAATAAAAATAAAAAAAATACTAAAAATTCACTATGAATGTATGTATAGAAATTATAAAATTTAAAACTTAAAAATTAAACTCAAAAATATTTAATATAGGCTTTGATTAGGTAGACAGAAGAAAAGTATAAAATTATATAAAAAAATAATAAAAATAACAAATTTAATAAAATTGTGATTAAATATAATAAAAAAATGATTTAATTCAAATTACATAAATTTTTGTTCATTCTATATGTATGATATATGAATTTGTAATTACAACGAAATTTTGTTATTACAATGATATAATACGTTTTTATCAGGTAATCTCCTGAAAACAGTATTTTTGTAACATGTAAATCAAAAATTCTTACACTTACAGTCTTTTGTAGATATATTCATATTTATGATTAAAAAGTGGGATTCGGAAGGCAAATGAGTTTGAATTGTACTATATTCATGCACATGCATCATTTATCGAAAATAGCGTTTGAAGTTTAAACACATTTTATTTTAAAATTAAACCATTTAAAATTTCGTTCAATTTCGACAAAAAAATTGAGAGTTATTATTAATTAGAGATCTAGCGCGATTTTAGTCCGTGTGCACGTCTACGTTCTTACTTAAAATTATAAATCTGTTCCTTATGTCTCATTGTTTCTCACACACTTGTATTACAAAAATGATCATATCGGGAAAATAAGAAGTTTAAATTTAAAACATATGTAAAATGTGGGTATTTAACATAATTAGATTCAAAGAATTTAAACAATGATTTTTTCTTTTGAGTGTAATTTACTACGAACTTAATTTATGATTACTTCATTACGAATATACAGAGCAGAATTGTAGTAATTCGTGATTGATAATATGATATTCATTATTTTCCGAATTTCAGAGCTACGAACGAAATAAATGAGAGTGTTGATAAGTGCTCTCTTTTAAAATTCTGCGTTGATTTAAACAAGTGCCTTTCTTCCTTCGCACAATAAAACAAGAAAGAGAAGAACAAACACCACCAAACATTTAAAAATTGTTTTTTTTATTTCTGCTAAGGGCAGTTGCTATTTTAAGTAAAACGATTCGAACTTTACATTCGGATAGCTGCTATGGCAGCTATACATTACATGAATTATATGAATTCGGCAGCTATGTGTCCAATCACAACTCTGATATGTCATAGAAGTTTTAGTGGAATGTCTTGACAGTTTTATTATTGTTTATAGTTAAATATTTCAATAACTGATTAGTGTAGCATAAGGAAAAGTGGTAACAACGTGTGAGATTATATTAAAATCCCAAATTTGGCCAATTTTGGTTGTATAAAAATCCAGTACTTGCAAAACAATTTCTTTTTTGCCTACATTTGTTTGTATTATTATAGAGACAGAATATAATAATTGCTTCAAAAGACTACATTTGAAAATTAATTTAAGAACTTTTCTGAAGCCTTATTATATTGTTCTCAAAATGAAATGAAGTTTTTTGCTTTTATTTTTATGTAACATGCTGTGACACTTATGTATATGGAAGATGTAAATTTAAGGATTAGTTTTTGTTTAGTTTTAATATTGTTTTGCTTCATTTGATTTAAATTATAAATTTCTTAATGTTCGTTTGATTAATTTGAATTTCTTTGTTATTTTGTTCTCAAATTTTACTGAATTACCAATTAAAATTAATTTGTTTTTTTTTTTTAATTTAATACATTAATTTAATACAAATTTTATTTGAAAAATACCAGGTTGCAATTATTTATTGGCATTAAATTAGTTGCAACAAAATGCCACAATAAGTATGTATTCAATAATTAGTGTTGCAACAAAAACCTACATACATACATATGTATATTTGCATAAAATTGTTTCAAAACCCAACATTTACGTTTTCAATTTACGTTTTTTTTTTGTTAATATTTTATTTTAATTATTGTTATAATATTTTGAGAAATTCGTATTTTAACCTTGTTACAGGGTTTAAAACTTTTTAGAAACTTAACAAGTGACTTTATTACTTCATTCACAAACTATGTGCGATAAATAAAACCAAATAATTGATGACAAGTCGTAAACGAATATCATGTTTTGAAAATTATTGAAAAGAATAAATATAAGTACATAGAAATACAAAATTCAATAAATAGATAAATCATAGCGGACGCTCCTCATTATTATCCCATTTTGTAAGAAGATACTTTCAAATATTTAAAGTAGATGGTGTTTTACAAAGAGGATAATAAAAATTCTGTTCATAAAATATTAAAACTTCAGGTTTACAATGATCCATGAAAATTGAATACATCACCAATGATTTTGGATATTGATCAAAATGCGTCGATCAAAATCGATTTAAAAATAGAATAGGTGGATCAAAATAACACCTGAATATCTATAAAGCTAAATGAGATAATGAAAAACTGATTACATATTCTGAAAAATTATCCTCCGAAACCGGTGAAAATCTTCTGAACTTATAAATCACGAAAGTAGTTTATCAAAGCAGAATTTACATCGCCCATGTAATCCAGAACATGGGAGATTATATTAAAAAAATTTACGTAAGATTATGATTATTAGTTAAAATAATTAAATGCACTATAAGTGTAAGCTTACTAATCCATGTTTTCAATCATGTTTATTCTTCACATACATGATTTGAAAAACCTCAAGTGAATTTATTATTTTCTCACTTTTTCTTTTTCCTGCAATGTCATTTAATCTTTATACTGCAAATTCAATACCAGCTAAACACGTTCTTGTTCTTTTTAAATTGCATTTAGTTCATATTAAATACGGAAAACTGTTAAAATTTTATAGAAAAATTTAAGTTAGGATAAAATATTAGAAATAAAACGATAATAATATCTATAAATGTAGAGATTATCTATAAATTAGACATGAGCTTAAAGTTCTAATTTCAATTCTAATTTTTTTTCGCATAATCACAAAATCTGCAAAAGTTAAATAGTTTATCTTTGTAAATTTGTAATATGTGGGCTCTATATTTTCAATTTTGCTATTATATTTCATGTTTTGTAGAAGAGATTTATCAAACATACGCAATTCGAAAACTGTTTTGTGTTTATTTAGCTTTTGAAATAAAGAACAATATAATTTAATCAACAAAATTTTAAAATGATTTAATTATAAAACTCTTAACATATTTATTTCAATTATATACATGTAATGGAAAAATCACAAATCCGATATAACTGATTTTATTACTTTTTGTAAATGGTATGCATATAAAATTTTTATTCTTATCTTAAAAAAATTTCTTATTTTCTTCCCATATGTCCAATAAAACATCATCAATGTCTGAATTTGGAAATCTATCTACCCAGGACTTAATATAACCTTGATGGCTTGCGTCATACGTAATTAAGTCTACATTTTCACCATTTATTTCAGTATTAGCTTGTACTAATATAATACGAGGTTTTTTATGCAATAGTATAATATTACGCCATTTGGCCCATGGATATGGTCCCGAATCGTTCACTTCTGAATAGTAATCATACATTTTCTTTGCTGCAGCAATGTCAGCTGTTGACTTGAACACTTGAAGTTTTAACAAAAATTGGTAAATTGCTTTCTTGCCTACTGTATTAATTTTAGTTCTGTCGATAGTAAGAAGTAAGTTTTTGCCCTCTTCAGTTTCTATAATCGTTATAAAATCTTGACCAGCTTCAACTAATACTTTCATAATAACATAACGTGCCTGACTATGAGCTTGCATCCACAGTTTCGTCTGCGGGTTGTACATTTCTAAAGCTACACCTACACCATTCCATATTAAGTTCATCCAGTTTGTGTATATGATCTTTTCTTGCTCCTCTTCGCTTTCAAAACCGAAAATTTTAAGAACATCTTTTTGAAGACTTAAATATAAACCAACTGCTTCCGCGCGGCATTCTTCGTAGGATGAACCCATCGATCCAAATTTTGTGTCATATGTTTCTCCCGGTACATACCAATTAGTGATTTTCTCCCCGTTTAACGGGTTCTTTACATGTTCTATATCAAAATTAAATTTTCCATCTTCATCAACTCGGAATAATTTGCCACTACCATGACCTAAAAGCTCATGCAAACCTACTTGAACCTATAATAAGATTTTAAATTTTGTTATTATTCTTATACACGCACACTATTATTAAATTTAATATTTTTGAAATCTTACCTCAAATGATTTTACTTTGTACTCCTTTACCAGTGCTTGATCTTCTTCTGATAAAAATGGTATTGGGTCCTTTTTATTTATATTTGACAAAACATTTCCTAAGGAAACATTTTTAAATCCTTCATCTTGTCTTATTTCGTCATCTGCAATATTATAAAAGATAAACACATATGAATTTATTAAATAACAAACAGTTTGTTATAAATTACAATTTGGTATATTTATTCCAGCAGGAACTCCGCTGCCTGCAAAAGTTAAAACATCTAGAGAAGTGAAATCTGGTTTCAAATAAGAGTCTTTTTCAAAATCTTCATTCCATGGTAAGTGTTTTAAAAACTCTTCAGCTAAGGTTACTAGTTTTCCAAATTTAGATGACATTTCTTTGTTGACCATAGCTACGAATCCTTCAAATTCTGCCCTCGCGCCAGCTGGATCACGATAAGTTTCAATAAAACCTATATAAGTTTCAATGACTGGACCTTTATCTTTAATCCAAAATCGTGAACCTTCTTTATGATCTGGAAGACTGCCTTCAGTAAAACATTTAATGTAATGTTCAATCATAAGGTTTTGATTTTCATTGGCAGCATATTGCTTAGCTAATTTAAGATTTTCAACGCATTTAGCTAATAATTTCGAATAATCACCTCGGGTTACACGAAAGATGTTTTTTTTGAATTCTTCTTCTGGTTTCGTAATGCCATCCTTCGTACCCTTTTCAACGGAAGCTATTCTAATATTGTAAACTTGTTTTTCATTTTCAATTGTTTTAAAAGTTCTGCTCATGTAAGCTTCTATTTGTCGGGATGTCATCCACTCAGTAACTATTTCTGAATCATTTTTAGTACAATTTGAAGACCAATATGTTGTAACACCGTTGGGAGAAAAACCTAAAGTTTCATTATTGTCATTCAGTTCAAAAATTTGTTCTAAAATTTGCTTTGCAACTTTCTGAAGTTGTAGGTCTTCATTGTAAACCTTGGAATTCTCAAGAATTTTTTGAAATTTGTCTTTTGGTAAATTCGGTATAATTTTACTGTCACCAAAACCTTTGTAATTTCCAGAATTCGCAAAAAACCCGCAAGCATACACCAAAAAAGCTGTGAATTCATCGTCGGAAATAGACCCTGAATTTACTGCTTTTTCCTTTAAATCACTCAATGATTCATTTTTAAATATTTTGTGAAGTAAAGCAAATATAGCTGGTGATTCAGGACTACACTGAATTAAAGCAATTAATCCACCATACCATGAGGCTTTTGAAAAATAATGTGCGTATAACTTTTCTTTCGCTGTTAAATTAAGAAATGCGTCTTTACAACTTAAATCAGCGATTGGTTGAGTGTTTGGCAAAACAAATTGTTTCAGTTTGTCGTCAAGCATTTTCAGTTTCGGTTTGAGAATTGAGGTGGCCTGTGAAAATAAATAAGAGTTCTATAGTTTTGTTATTTATTACTTTTCATACTTATTCCACCTATAGTCAAGAGTTACCTTTATGGATTTCATGTCAGAAAAAGATTTTCTTACAGTCATAACTCTTTGTCTCAATATATGCGGTGCTAAATTAGGTATTCTAAAATATTTCAACATTTCTACCTTTTTTTTATTACAAAACTAACAAGTTATGTCCTTATATGTGTTTTTATGAAAACATTTCAATTATTTCTATAGAATTATTCCTAGACCTACCTACCAACATAAAATTTCTACAAAAATTGTTATAAATTAGTAGCTCTAGGTTTAATTATTAGAGCTACTAATAAGGTTGTTGACATAGGTAATATACATTTATGTGCAACTTTACGATTTTGGCCAACCTAAAAATTTTTGTTTAATATCTATATGTAACTATTTTGATAATTAGTATAAAATTTTAATTTTGTCTAATTTTAAGCTTAAAATTGCTTAAAAATTTTGCTGACATTGTAATGTTTTTATAATAAATTCCTATAAAAACGCTGTGTCATCACACATTATAAATATTTATCAGTTATTCTTAGTTTCATTTTCTTTACAATATTTTTCTAAAATTAAGCACCTTTTATTTGAGGAAATTCTTTTTTATCATATCTAGAATCGTTTGAATTATGATAATTTACCTTCAATTAAATTAAATTATACTATTTTCAAGAAAACTTGTCTTCAGCTTTTATTTGTTGTCAAATCTGAAATGCACTTTACAATATTGTGTGTACGCCGGAAATTAATGTGTTTGTGTAAGCGTAAAATTCGATTTTGACAAATATGACATATGTTTTCTGAATTTCAACCTATTTTCAAAAGCAATCTATTTTTTTTGCTTTGGATACGTGTGATTATGTAAATATGCAAAAATGTTTTAATTTTAAATGTAACTATTTTTTGAAAACACAATATGTAAATTTTAAATTATTTTTTAAGAAATTTCGAGAGAAAAATTAGTGTAACATACATAATGTTTACTAAAATTTAAAACAAGTTTTTATGCACACTCTAAATTTTACAATTATACTAATTAAATAAAAAATCTTGAAAATGAAAAAACGTAAATATGGTAAAATAAATATAGCTTCAGTGTATAACCTCTAGTATATATAAATAAATAAGTATTTAACATGTATGTATTTTAAGTAAATAATACATATGTATTTTAAGTAAATTTAATTTAAAACTAACTTTCAACAAAAACTTTAAACAACACAGATTTTCAATTAAAATTTTTAGCTCGGTTCAATGTTCACCAAGCGATGTCAACCAATACAAGACCTGTTATGGTGTTATGATTGTTTTTATTCTTCGCATTTTTGTGAACGTCTCTTTCATTTACATTTCATTCTTTTTTTATTTTTCATTATCTTTTTGAATTCTATTCTACAAAAACGGAAAACCTTGAATTAACTAAATAGAGAAGACAAAAGACTTCCATAGACACATTTTTGCAAATATGAGTGTGTGCAGCTTATATTCTAAAATAAACTTTCAGACCAATGTATGCATAGAATATGACGACCAAGAATGAAAATCTGAAAAAGCACTTCAAAAGAGTTTTCTCCATCAGCAGACGGTTATTGACTTGACATCAATATCATATACGCGAACAAAAGCACATAAAAGTGAAAAAAACATTTGGTTGCCTAGTGATGCATTGCACATATCACTATATTATGTGCCTTTTATGCATGCTTTTTATTGTGTATTTAAATTTTTTTATAGCCTTTAAATAATGTAGCTTCAAAATATTGAATTTTTAAACTTTGCTCATAAAAAAACTAAGTTCTATACAAAAGTCCAATACAAATATGTAAACAGCACAAAAGTTATTTGTTTTTAATAAAGTTACATTTATTTTTTTAGCTTTTACTTACACATGCCACTTAGCTTTTTAAAAAATTGTATATTAAAAAAGAAAACAGGATTCCATTAGAACACTGAAAAACCCCGAATAGGTACTGTTTACATATTTATACGACAAAATCAAGATAAAAAGATCAGATCAGATTTTATCTACCACATAGGCTGTAACAACTGTTTACGTACTAACTGAAATTATCTTGGATTTTACGTCAAAATCTAACAATTTTCTACGAAATTATGACTAAAGTAAAAATCAGCTGTTCGTAGTACTAATTTTCGCACTAACTGTAAAAGCAGAAATAAAACGGTGAACGGCAATACCTGGCGATTTCCCTCGTTAATCCAGAACAACAGCAAAACGGCAAAATCAATTGCGCAGCATTTTGAATATAATGTCACACACACATGGCAAAAGATCAGCTGCCAAAAAAATGTCATCGGTAATATAGCAATTTAGGCTATTTTACCACCGACGTGGAAATCACGACGGTAATTTCACTTATTTCTTTATTATATTAATTCTGACATTTCAATGGGGAAAACCGTTGTTTATGTAATTGTCGCCACCTTACTTCTAACAACCCTGCAGCAAAATGGTGAGAATAAAGTAAATTCTATTAAGTATTTTAATAAATAAAACCAATTATTTATGTAATAGTATTAACTTTAATTAATAATTCGGAAATTTGTTAAACTTTTCTTTTATGAAGTTTCGAGTGACAGGAGCAGTTTTTATTTAAGTTAAAATGATTTATATTTATAAAATTTTTGCATTAATTTTTCAAAAATAAATGAATTGTAAGCGAAGTGGTATGTGATGTACTGCTTCACAAATTTTTATGTATTATAAGGAGTTTCATTTTGGTAACGGAAAAGATATAATACGTAAACTTAAATATGTATGTATGTATGTAGTGTATTTAAATTTTCCGAAATATTAGTCTCCAAATTTTATCAAAAATATTTTTATATACTAAAATAGTTATATGTTGGAGCACAAACACAAACATGGGTATTTTTATTTTAAAATCAAATATGTATATAAGTAGCATATTGTGTAACAAAATATGTATTTTGTAGAATAAAACTGTCAAATGAAATTGATGATTTTTTTAAATATATATGAAAATAAGGTCATAAGATTTATATTTCTTAATATCATAAGATTTTATACTTCAATAAGATATTTAATTTTAAGTTGTCAAACAATTTATAAAATAAAAAAACAAGTTAACGTCTTTAAATTTGTTTTTATTTGAAATTTAGTAATACTCGTACCTGCGAATTTTGGTTATTTGAAATATTTGCAGGTAAAATTTTATTATAAAAAAAAATTGCTTTACAATTATTGCGTTATCAATTATGTATATTTTATACGTAGTAAACGTTAGGTTATCAAAATAAATTCGCTCCTATTATAAGTTTGACTGCACAAACAGACAATTAAGAAATGATTTAGTTATATGTATTATTCATGTCCAAAATATTTTTGTTACGTCAGGTATGACAAAAAACGAAATAACGACATTCTATAATAGCAGAAAATAATTAATAAATTAATTAAATAGTAATAAAAAAAATTTATATATTACCTTTGCTAAAGAGAGTGCAGAATTGGTATTCATTCCTCAAGTTAAATGCCACCAGTCAAATCAGCCATATGTCATTATAATTGTCATTTACACATCCGAACTGACTTGAAATTTTTAACTGAAGGCGATCCGATAAAATAACTAAATTGAGTTGAAAATCTATTGCATAATAAGCTGATAAACAAAATAAACTAAATTAACACAAAACAAAATAATCACCGTAAACGAACTCAAATCATTTTTAACGTCTCTTCATGATATTGAAATGAAATTATTAAGTTTTGAACTTTAACGTCAAAAACATTTGATTTTCCAAATCTTAGCGCACCGTAGCGATGACAAAATAAAGTAATTTCGACATCCAGTTGACGTTTTACCAATTTAGTAGTAATTTGTTTTGTTATCCCGCGCCTATAATGAAAATATTGCAGAAACATAAAATCAAAAAAAAATTAAAGGAACTCAACGACACTTCAGAAGTTGCATTAGAGGAGAAAAAAAATTATTCAAGTTCTGAAGATGATGAAGGATTGAAAGAGCCGACGGCAGAACAAATAGCTCAATCAGCAAAACCCGAAAATATTTATTCTATCCAATCTGTTCGGGCTAAGCAGAAAGTCAAACACTTCAAAAACGTTGAGCAAAAAAAGTGTAAGAATAAATTACAGCACAAAACCATTTTAGAAAAATATCTTCAAACCTGGAAAAACGATCGTTTAAACTGGAAATATAAGAAATTGTTACAAATAGAAATTGTGTCGAAAATGTTCGATGAAAATATAATAAACATTTATTTATGGCCATTGGTTTTAGAATATTTGGAAGGCAGTGAAGGTATGGCAAAAAAAAAAATTATAGAAAAAGCTCAAAACGAAATATCAAATTTAGATAGAGAAATAGAAGAAGGAAAAAAAGAATTGCTAGAAAGTGTAAAATATTCAAGAGCAAGGCAAATAATTCAAAATTTAAATTAGCATTTTTGATTTTTTATTGAAATGTACAAGTTGAATTATAAGTTTAAATTAAAAATTATTTTAATTTTCGCGTTTTTTATTTTAAGATTTTTAAAAATTTTATTACATAAATATTTTTACACGTAGTATATAATTTAAAATTAAGCTTTATATTCTTGGTAATACCTCAGGATCAAAATTAAACAAATCATTATCCCGATCGTCTTGTCTCGCTTGTTGAGGTCTGGATTCAGTTTTTGGAGAAGCCGGTGGCGGAGTATCTGCTTTCTTCTTTTTGTGCTCATAATTTACCAATCTTTGACCAACCAAATATTTATCGTTCTTTATAGCTATATAAAGTTTCTTGAACTGTCTTATTTGGAAATAAATTATGGCAACCGCTATAAATACTATTAAAAAGAATGGATAAATTTCTCTGGCTATAATACTTCGTGTTTGTTGATTTGTGAAAAACATTGGCATTACAGAATGAGCTATAACGTAGGGAACCGATAAAGCTAACCCAAAACAAGTTATAACCGGGGCTGCCAGTTCTCGTATAATAAATCCTAAGTCAATGTCACGCAATCCATCACGATACGCTCTTTCTATAGCACGTTTGAATACCCAATCAGGGCCCATCATTGTAAGAGCACAAGCTATTTTAGTGTATAATACTCCTAAGGCCCAATCTTGCCACAAAAAGTGAATTGGTGTCTGTTCTAGTGGCACACGTAAAGGTATTACTAAAACTAATTCTAATAAAAGCCCAAACAAAAGAGGGATTACTCCAAGCATCAATACAAATAGTATAGCGGCCAAAGCATAACTTGTAGCGGTTTGCAACCAATGACGAAACTTTTCCATTATTGCGGTACGCCCCTGCGGCAATAAATTAGTTGCAATTGCAACCCCACGGGAAAATATCCAACAAAGGTAGGTACCCATAGCTGCGGTATACAATTCGTGTGGTCGAAGAGGAATCTCTCCACCTCTTCCTTCGACAGTACTAGTAGCACTGTTATGATTTGAAATACTAACAGACCAAAATGCCATTGCCTGACGACCAATCCATATAGGAATAGTTAATGTTATAAGAGATGTAATGACAAGACTTATGCACATTAAAACTATTAAACCAAATAACCGCATGGCAAAAAATGTTGGCCGATCTGAAATACAAAACAATAAGTATAGTTAAAGAACTTAATTCGTAATATACTATTTGACATTTCCTACCATATGGTTGAAATGCTACAGGAACACCTCTTTGCAAGTACGCTTGATGAGCTGCTCCTAGACCACCCTGATTATTCACATCAAATGGCTGCCGTTCGTTGCCTTCATCATCATTATTTGCTTCAGTTCCTAAATAACTTTTTAGACCCAACAACCATGCGACACTTTTACACCAAATTCTAACCAGGCTTTTGAGCCATATACGAGTGTGGGATTGTTCAAAGAAGCCAGGGAGAATAATCTAGCCAATTTTTTATTACATGAAAAAAAATTTTAAAATAAAAATAATGTATATACCTGCAAGAGTAAAATTTGCAAACTTAATTCATTAACTTCTGCGTCACCTGAAAGAACGTAAGGCAAAAACGTTGGCCAAAATGATTTCAGAATTTGTATTGGTAGCCAAAGCATCAATAACACTGCGGTTCCAAAAATAACTGCGGAAGCAATTAAGCGACGCGTATGACGTAGTACTGAGAAATTTATCATTTCCTTAAAATATAATTTTGAATATTCAATACAATACCAATTATAAATACATAATATTTACTTGTATGGGACTAAAATCGGGGTCATTTAAATTTCTAAAAAACCATAAAACGCCTGGCCTTAAAACTTCCCTTAACAATGATACAAAAGCTGCAAAATAGTAAACATAAACCATACCAAACATCCAATGTATAAAAAGAGAAGTTCCGGGCGCTGCTCTAAAACTAGCTTTACGATCTTTAATTGTGGCATCAAATAAAGGTAGAGAGCATATATCTAACCACCAGCCACAAACTAATGGTAGTACCCCTACTTCCACCACAGATAAAAGGGATACTTTTACAACTATATAACATAAACCAAATAGCCAGCGTATTTTTCGCATTTTAAATAATCGTGCTATGGAGTGCAATATAACCAGTGTTACTCCAATATTACAATACCCAAATAATGTGGTTAAGAATCCATGAAAATGCATTAAAGGTTTGTCTTGTCTTTGCAATCCTAAAGAGTTTATAACAAAATTGCCTATGCAATGCGGACAGAATGCAAAAGTAAATATGAAGATTGTGTTTAGGGAGATCACCCAAAAAACATGCTCTAGAAACACCATTGACCCATCTAATCCTAGTAATCTTTCCCATGTCAATTCTTCTGCGGCTCTATCCCATTCCATTGGGTTCCAATTTCCTAAAAAAATCATATAAAATAAATTAAACTCTTAAAAATTTTGCTGTTTGACCAGTAAATTGTTCACCTTCTTCATTTCCATTTCCTAAATCACCAGCTCCGTCACCTGCAGCTGCATCGGGTGCTTCTGCAGCTGGAATTGGTGGGGGAGGTTCTGCATTGTCAATTGGTAAATCAGGTGGTGGATCATTTACATCAACCTCATTATTATTATTTTCATTGTTATTATTATCGTTGGCTTCATCAGCAAGACCAATATGACCTTCGTTTACTCCATCATTCCCAATATCATTTTCAGGTCTTAAATCTCCTAAAATTGCCATTCTAGGATCTCCTAAATCCTGTTGAATATTTTGGGGTTCGTTTAACCAATCAGGTCCACCCCCATGTAAAATCTGCTCACGTAACCACACAATACCAATAAAGGATAATAAGGTACACGTAACAACAAAACAACCTCTAAAAACATCCGAAGCTATATTTTCTGTTGAAAATACATCAACTGGCAGGGATAATATTTCAAAAGAGCCACTAAACATAAAACGATAAGTTCTATATGCTGACAAAGGTACTACACCTAGCCATGCAAATGCTACTATTGTGTAATGTATCCAATATTTCGCTGCGGTACCAACAGAAGTCAATAAACCACCAATAACATCCCTCAATGGTAAAACACTTGGCATATTTGGGGAATAAATTGGTTGAAAAGTAAATCTATGTCCACATAACTCACAATATTCCTTTCGAGAGTATCGCATCCATTGTGTTAAACAGTCTTGATGAATCCACTTTATGCTACCGGTGCATATACATGGATGAAACAAAGGTCGATCTGGTTGAGCTTCACCTTTAAACAAAACACAAATGCAAATTATAAAATAACTACACATTTTATTTTATGTATATAAAGTGCATATGTATACAAATGCATTACATTTGCATACACGACATTCCCGGGATATTATATCATTTTGAGACATGTCATCCATCCTCTTACTACTCTAAAATTTTTTAAGAAAAAGCAATCTTTGGTTAAATAATGTAAATATTTAAAATAAAAAAAATAAGAAAATCTTCCCGATCTGTTTTTTTTATGTCACGGACTTCACTATTAGTTTTATGACTTTGACATTCTACAGATATAAATATAAAATAAGAATTCCACCCAGCACTACCAAAGGTGAAGATTCATCTTCAAAATTTAGGTATTTTGGAAATATTTTTTCTCTGAAACTTCAAAATAAGATTTTTAAAATTTTACATACAAAAATATCTCTAAAATTAATGTTTTTTAATGAATTTTAATTTAAGAAATAGAATTTTTTACAATTTTTTCCATATTTTCCGAAGTATACAAAAGAAAATCAAAAAAATCATTTAATCTTTTTAAATGTAACGCATGGTAATACTATTTCCACGGCAAATTTTTTGATATTCTCCGTCGCAATTATTATTAAACGACTTGGGGTTTTAACTAAATGCGTATACAGTTTCTTACATCATATGTGATTGTTATATTATTTTTGCTTCGAATTGAAATCGAGATATTTTTGCTTCCCACTGATTTCAATTGAATATCACATAAAGATCTAGAAGGACTTGTAAAGATTTTTTTATGAAGAGTTTTATGTGAACCTGACAATTATTTCGATGGACAGTTGTCCAACGAAAGACTTAACTAATATTAATTAATATTTATAATTATAAATAGACTAATAACTAATTAAGTCTAGACAGCTTATATAAAAAATATCTTCCGCCCAAAATTGAAGAATAGTTTAGTTTCCATTTATATATTCTCCTGGAGTACTTTTGCTGCCTACACAAATTTTACTGTAATTTAAAAAACATTAGTTGCTTTCAAAAATGTGACAGATAATTTAATTATATTCATATCAGATTTGATAAATTTGATGATATTGATTTCTATTTTTATCAGCAGATTACATCTGATATTACATTCGACCATATTTTTATCAGATTCAGATTTCACTTTATATTTAATATTATGTGTAATTGGCATCTCGCGGGGTCTTGCACAATTAATGTAGATTTTGAAAAAAACGATGTTCATCTTATATTTTACCTAATCAAATCAGATTATAAAATCAGTTGTTCCGAATTTTTTTTCGAGTGCTTTTTGGTTTATTTATGTATTGCAAATTTCGTGTATTTTTTGTCATATGCCGATTTGATTTTTTGTCATATGTGGTTACGAATTACAAAAAAATCAGTAAAAGGACCAAAATAAATTTATTGTTATTTGTATCATGGTATCATTAAAAGGTTCTTTCACGAGACAAAAACTAAAAAACTAAGTAAAATTTCAATAGGTAATACGAATAGAGGCTACTTTTAAAATAACTGAGTTATATTTTGACAACGTCAAAGTGTATTTTAAAATTAAAACAATTTATCGAAAATTAAGTAATTAAATTAAATAAAATTTAAAAACATTAAACTTAAAATCATCACTTTCATTTCACCCTTCACGAGACCAAAATAAAAATTGTAGATGATTAAAATTTCTGACGGTAGATGTCACTTATTACTTGCTAAGATACCATGAATGTTTATAATGATAATAATATGTATGTTGTGTATAATTTATTTTTATAAATTTTCGATTTTTTGTACAGAATACATGTATTCATTCAAAGATAAAATTCCTAGCGTAAATAATTATTTTGAAAACAGAAAATATGCTAAAAATTCGTCTTCCAATTTAAGGGAAATATTGCAGGAAGTTGAAAGTTACAATCAAAAAGCGAGTGATAATGAGAATGGTATAAAATTTAAAATCAATTTGAAGCCGAGAGATCAAATAGACTTTATGGATTTACAAATGGCAGAAAGCTTAAAAAAACAGAAGAAACAAAACTTTTTGGAGGAAAAAAGAAGACAGCAGGTTGATTTAATGTTTTTAAAGAGTTCAAAATTTTTTAGAAAATTTATTCAATTATTTAGTTGCGTGAAAATACGGAGGAACTAAAGGAACTAGAAATGAAATTGAGAACTGCTTATATATCCAAAGGTTTAGCCGCACAAATTTCAGAAAGAGAGTTTCTAAAAGCAAAAGAAAAAGAAAAGCAAAATTACGAAATTGAATTGGAGGAAAAAGCCAGAATAGAAAGAGAAGAAAGTGAAAGACGTAGAGAAGAGTTAGATAAACACAAAAAACTAGTACTTATGGCAGAATTGAAAAAGCAAATTAAGCAAAATGAACATAAAAAAACTTTAAAAATTGAAGAATATATAGAGGAAAAGAAAATAATAGATAATATTGCACGAAAAATTTTGAAAGAACAACATGAACAACAAAAGTGTAAAAGCCAGAAACGTTTAGAAATTCACAAAGATGCAGAAGAATTTTTTAGAGTCCGTCAAATGCTAGAAGTAGAGAAGCTTGAAGCTGAAATTGAAGAAAATAAAAAAATCGAAGCTTTGCAAAAGGAAAGAGATGAATATGAGAAAAAAGAAAAAGAAAAAAAACTAGTTCAACTTTCAGAGAGACAGCAAATAAGTGAAAATTTGGGAAAAAAATTAAATATGAACGAAGTAAGACTTATTAACACATGTACTGTTTGATTCAAAAAAATTATTGCATTAAACTAATCAGTGATAAAAATTACAAATGAATTTTCAGCGGATGAAATGTAAGAGAATGGCTGTGCTTGAAGATTTGTTAGTAGAAGAAAAGGCAGCTCGCGATGAAGAGTTAGAAAGAAAACAGCTTGCAGAAAATTTAAAAAAGCAAATGGAATATAGGCTAGGACTATTTGCTTTACTAGAAAGTAATAAACAGAGGGCACAAGAACAAGTCAGGCAGGATAGTTTATATCATAACATATTGTTAGAAGAACTAGCCAAAAAAGACCAGTTGGAAAAAGTTAAGGAAGAACAAAAGAAACAAAAAACTCTATTGCATAAACAAGCATTTCTTGAAGATTTAGATTTAAAGGTTCAACTACGTGCTTCAGAACTTTCTGAATTACTTAATCAAAGAGAAAATGATATACGAGAAAGTCAGAGAAAGTAAATATCATGTACATATAATAAATATAATGATATTATAAATTTTTTTCAATTTTTTAGGGAACAACTTATTGAAGACGAAAGAATTAAAATGCTTCAAGAACATGCTTCAGTACTTCAAGGATTCATCCCGCCAGGTGTTTTCAAAAGAAATGACAAGGAATTCCTTCCGTTGTCATCAGAGGCAAATCTTAAGTAGGCAATATTTTAAAAACACTACTTTAACCGTCCATTGTTTTAAGTTTTTGCATTTAATAGAATTATCATATTAAAAAAGCAAATAAAATCACAATACTTGAAAAATGCAAGTAGAAATTTGAAAGATGCAAGTATACACATAAGTACATAAAATGTTATACTTATATACAGCTTGATTGAGTAATCAGTCCTTTGACATATTTATATGATTTATGGCATCAAAAAAGAGTAAAATCTCTGTTTTAACTGGGTGTAAAATTTCGACAGTTTTTGAAAGTAGTCTTAATAAACTTTCACATATTTCTATTCGTTCGTTTTTTTTTTTTGCTTGTAGCACCTGTTCTGAAGAAGATGGATGCTTCAAACAAACAGAATTTTTAAAAGCCTAATAAAGGGCTGGAAACCAGTCAGTTTATTTTGCATTTCATTTTCGGTCTTAACTTTTATGAATTTTTTTTTTAACTTTTTTTAAGTTTTGTTTTTGTGTAATGCTTTCTTTTACTTGAGCTATCGACCATTCAAACAGTCGAATTTTAAGATTTTAAGGCTTTATAATAAAAAGGAACAATTGCCACTTTTGCGTTAAATGTTAGGCTAAAGATCTTACTGTTTTTTTTCCGCAGTATTTCCTATTCCAAAAACTACAAGATTTTTCTTTGCATTTATTTTTATATACATGTATTTGATTGAGCCAAATTAAAATGTACCCCTGCATTTGTTTTAGGATAAAGCTCTTATTGTTTTATTTCTCCGATGTATGTATTTCCTATTCTAAGAGCAAAACGGTTTTTCGTTTATAAATATATTTAATTTCGTCTGCTGAGAAATGAAACAGTGTATAAAAAAATACCTACTATATAGTTTCGAGTTTTCGAGCATTTAAAGTTTTTTGAAAATTTAAACTTACGTTTATGGTCTAAAAAGTACATAAAGCTTTTTATATAAGTTAACCGTGACTTCAATAATGCGCTTAAGACGTAAAATTTTACAAAGTATCAAATTCCAAAAAGTTTACTAAAAGCTCTTGACATTGTACACTTTTCCAAAATGCGTTTTATACGTAATGGAGACGTAAAATAAAAGTAAATCGGGTATCGAAAAAATCGAGCACGCTTTTCTTATACCTTGTCATATAAATGTTACCAGAAGTAACCGATTAAAAAAAACTAGCATATATTTTCAGCAATAAAGTGGTAGCTATCAAGTTTTTTCCAAAATAAAGCATAAGAATGCTATTTTTCCAGTGGTGTGGTAACGTTTGTTAGTTATACAAAATTTAGTGTCATTTGTCATATTTCAAATTCATAAACAAAAAGGTTTTTTGAAAACATTCACGTACATGTTATTTTTTAAATTTGAAAAAAATGGAAAAAGAGCAGTAAGTTATACCCTTAATTCATTAAATGTAATCTTGATTTAACATTTAATTTTTGCAGTAATAAGAAATGTATCTCTTTTGCTTTCTTAATGTTATAATTTGTTTAATTTTATTAAAATTGCTGCAACTACTTGAACTGTTGCTACTATTAAAATCAATTGAATTATTTACAACAATATTTACGAACACATTCATTTTTTTAAAATTAACATTTGCACAGAACTTTAAATTAAAATTTTCAAACAAATGTCAAAGTTGTATTGATATGGTAAAAATTGTATTCCAAAATGTATCAAAAGCTTTAGTAGTTTTTTTTACAATGTAAAGGTATTGAAAGCTCTGAGACGGTACTAATACCGTATTAATACCGTACTTAAATCTTTTTTAAAGCATTATTGAAGTCACGGTAATTATTTTGAAAGACAACACCAAATTTTTAAAGCTTTTAATAAAACATTTCCGCTTCAAAGAAATTATAGATTCGCATGGATCATAGTAAATTGTGGTTTTGAAAGTTTAGAGTACCTCTTACACTGTTTTAATTTTGAAGATAATTGTATGAAATAAATTATACACTGTTTCATTTTATTTTTTTTGTATGGTATACCATTTCATTTTTATTTATACACTGTTTTATTTTTAACATAAAGTTTATTCAATTATTTATTTCGACAAACAAAACTTTTTTTATTCAATATATTTTACAAAAACAAAAATAAAACATAATATTCAAAAATCAAAATATCAACTTTCCAAAAATTTCATGGTGCTTAATTTTACAAAAACAAATTATATGTTTTTTAAGCGTCGGTTTCATCTTCGGAATAATTTGGTTCATCTAATAAATTTTTTTGGGTTAATTTCTCTGGCCGATTTTGTCCCCCACAGCAATCTGAATAAAATTGAACCAACTTCATCAGAACCTCGTTCACCATTAATTCCCATCCAAAAGTTACAATAGCCTTCTTTAGTCACGAAGTCATACAAAGTTAAATTGTATGATGCAAATTTTCTTGTATAATAAAATTAACTTACATTCGAGCAAGGAGCGTACCTAAATTTTGCTATTATTCGTGGCCTTAGTTTTATCATTTTCTGTTTCATCTCGTGCATCATTTTTGTTATCTAAATGTTGAATCTTGTATTAAAAATTCTTCGTTACGTATATTCGCTAACTTTATTTGCTGGGTGTTTTTCTTTATATACATATGTAGATCGTACATTTTTTTTATGCTTAAATTTCTGGCTAAATATAGTTTTTTTGAGTTTTTTCTAGTATAATGAGACTCAACAATAGGACTTTATATGTTCTTTGATGGAGTTTTCAATTGCAGGATCAAGTTTTTTTGCATTGTTTTGTGAATCGCGTCGATCTTTTTCCACTGCTATGTTTGCTTTTTCCTTATTTTTTACATGCATCAGAGATTTCTGATGAAATATTTAATTTTGCAAGATAAAATTTTTTGCAAACGGTTTTACCATTCAGTTCATAACTATAAGTAAAATTTCTTCTAGTATTTCCCGATAACGTTTTTATTTTGTGAGAAACTGTATGCTTAATAAATAACCGTTGTTCCCCATATTCGCTCAGTTGCCAAAACGATTTGTTAATACAGCTTTTAGGTCGATTGGGTTTTTTAATTTACCATGTTTAGTCAGATATTGTTGTCCAGAATTTCGCATCAATTTGCTATGATTTTGTATCCATAATTTTTCCATTCGTGAATTTGTATCCATTCTTTTGCCGCTTTCTAAAATTTTTCGTGCTTTCTCCTACTTCTACATTTTCCTCCGCAATTTCTGTTTATTCTTCAACTGTTCCTATTGACACAAAAGCACTATGACCTTCCACGGATTTTGTATTATGATTTCTGGCATCATTTTCATCATTAGACGATAAAGAATCGTCCTCGTCACCTAACGGTTCATAGTCGTCGTCCGAACCTGCAGAAAAATCTGGTAAAGATGGTTCTGAAAACTCTTCAATAATTTTTTGTACTTCCTCATCCCGTAATTTTTTATCCATTATTAAATTTTTTGTATTATTTTTGTTATTTAACTTATTTTGTGGTTTTCTTATTTAAAAACTTTGTTTTTCTTAAATTTTTAATATTTTAACGATTTGTGTTCACTATTTATTTTCACTACCTTCCGGTCAACTAAAATAAATTTTACACAATAAGAAAATTTTTTTTTTTTTTTTTTTACCGAGAGGAAGGGTGAAAAATCTCGAAAGACACTGCCAGACGAAAAGCAGTAGTGTGGAACTTTAATCCACTAAAAAACATACATATATCAAAACTTTGTTGTATATCGTCAATTTAGAACGCCTCCCCAAAAGCCATTCAAACTTTCTGTATTCCTCCTCTAGTTGAGATCTCTTTTTCTTTATGTGCTCCTTCCATCTGAGCTTCGCGTCCAACGTCATTCCCAAATACTTCGCCGTGTTTGTGGACGGAATCAATACGCCATTTATTTGAACCGAAAATGAATTGTCAATTTTCCTATTAGTGAAATTTACATGTACTGATTTCACCTCGTTAAGTTTTATATTCCACTTTCTAGTCCATTTTGAGATCTCATCACTGGCCCTTTGCAATTTTTGTGTAGAATCATTTTCATTTCGTCCAATTGCGATAACTGCTGTATCATCAGCAAATGTAGCTGTTGTCACTCCTTCCGATGCAGGAATATCACACGTGTATAGCAAGTATAATATCGGGCCCAATATACTCCCCTGTGGTACCCCCGACTTGATATCCCTAAGCGAAGAGTACTCCTCTTCCTGTTTAACTCGAAATACCCTATTAGTCAGGTAAGATTCGAGCAGGTCAACATACTGCCTTGGTAGCAATCGCCTGAGTTTTTTTATTAATCCACAATGCCAAACCTTATCGAAGGCCTGGGCTACGTCCAAAAATATGATAGAACATACTGCTTTTTCTTCCAGTGAATTTTCAATTAGGTCAGTTATTATATGAATCTGATCTATGGTTGAGTGGTTGCGGCGAAAACCAAATTGATGATTCGGGATTAACCTTTTACTTTCAATTATAGGCTGGAGTCTTCTCAATAAAAGTTTCTCTAGTAGTTTTGAAATCATTGGCAACAAAGAGATTGGTCTATAAGAAGTCGCCGTGTCTATAGGTTTGCCAGGTTTGTGCAGCATGATTATCTCTGCAACTTTCCAAATTTCAGGCACGTAATTGAACCTTATACACGCATTTATTAGGCGCGTAAGCATCGTTATACCCCTTTTGGGTAATTTTTTCAAAATATCGGCCGTTATTAGGTCAAATCCTGGGGCTTTCCTAGGTTTAAAAGCCCTAATTTATTCTATAACACCTCTTTCCCTGACAAAACAGATTCCTCATTTTCATACACGCTCCGGCTGTCATGCGGGCAGAATATATCGGCCAAATGATCCGCAAACGCATTTGCCTTGTCCTTGTCAGTTTTTGCCCACGTTCCATCTTTGTTTTTAATAGGAGCGAGATGTTTGATAGGTTGCTTCATTTTCTTTGTTGCCCTCCACAGTGAGTAATTGGTTTTCTCACACGCCGTCAAATTTTGAACATAATCAGCAACCGAATCCTCTTTGTATTTTCTAATACAGCGTCTTAGTTGCTGTGATTCCTGATTATATCTGGTTTTATCAGCAGGATCACGCGTTTGCTGCCACTTTTTTCTCGCCCGTCTGCTTCGTTTTACTTTTGCTAGTATATGTGGGGGATAATTAATGCCCCCCCTCCTAATAACGCTAATTTTGGAACTACTCCAAGCCGCATTTTGAATAATTTTAGTAAAGTTTTCGGCCTCCTCATCTATGTGCTGTGTCGTTCTTATTCTTTTCCTTAGATCTATTTGACGTTCAATCTCTAAGCGAAATCTTGACCAATCTGTAGTTCCATTTGTCAGCGCAGGTTTC